CAGTTCATAGGAATTGCAGAATTTCACCTCAGAGACATAACTCCTGTTTTGAGCTATGACAATACCTTTTACATGATAAAACACACAAATTTTCTTTTTGATGGATAGAAAAAGCTGAAGCTGCCATTTTTCTAGTAGTAGTTAAGCAAAACCAACATTTCTACCTTTTTATTACCTTTAATGGCGTACATTCCATGCACCTGTAACTACAGGGGTGGTCTGCCAGCCTGAATCAATGCTCACCAGCAGTAAAGGAGCTCCCACTTCAACTATTCCCAGTGGGCTTAGTGACCTGGAGCTGTTACTGAAGGCACAGCAATGTCTCTGATATAAACAGACAGTGTGCACACACCAAAGAAGCAGCAGTTTGACCAGAACACCCACAGGAGGCTTCTACATCACATTTTAGCACCTGTTGAGGTCAGACCCACCCTGAAGAACTACCCAGGGAAACCTACATGCATCTCAGGAGCTTCCCTGCACTGCAGAGAGAGAATCACATGTCGCAGCTCGGTGCTCTCTGTGGACAGTGGTGAAAGTTTGTAGCATCCAGAGAACTGACTATAGGACTGCCTGCCATGTCAAAGGAAAAAACTTGAACAGCAGGAAGTTCCTACACTGTAAAAAGTGTGTCTGTGGAGTACAGATATTCTCTCAGAGAGGCACATCTTTGTATGATAACTCGCAGGAAGGAGACTCTCCAAGATTATGGAACAGAGAGACAAACAGAACGATTGCTTTATCTTGAAAAGCACTTGGAAAGCTTCCCTTGCGGAGACTGCAGTCAATTCATTTTTGCAGAGGAGAAAAGTTCCCCCCACTGGCAGGTAGAGAGCATATGCTTCAGCAAGGGAGGAGGGCATGCTGCTCACACGTATGCCAGTAATTTGTTGTCAGGGAGAAAGGAGGTAATGCTGCTGGACAGGCTGTGTAAACACCAAAAGCCCAAAACCTAGCAAAGGAAGAATCAGAGACACAGGAGGCTGAATGGAAAATACCAGGAGGATGCTATACTTGATACACTTGAATTCTCCCAGGATCATGTATTAGAAAGCATTGGATTATTTTACAAGAACAACAGGAAGAGATAAAAGGCTGTTGAGAAAATAAGGATTGCTTACAGGAGTATTTAGGGGCCTGCAGGAATGCAGAAGGGACCAAGAAGGCAAATTGTATTGTTAGAAGAGGGGGTGAATAAAGAGAGAAAAGTCCTTAGAAAAAAAAAGGACTATGAGGCAGGACAAGATCAGTGTTAGCACAAGCTTTTGAGGCAAGGGGAACAGCTCCTCTGCAGTAAAAAAAATCTGTTTGCTGCATCCTTTGTTATTTCAGCTGTGATCTGCTGGAGTCTGCACAAGGGTGACACCACTGTAACCCAGCAATTACCTTGGGCACAACACCTCCCCTCATCTGTGCAGCTGTAATGTCAGCTAAGTGTGCAAACATCAATTACATGGAGCAGCTCCGCTTGAGGACTTGAAGACTAGGGCATGTCTGGTTGGTAGAGCTACCCCAGGATACTAGAGCTAACCCCATTACTACGGTACAGCATTGGGATTTGTCACATGCTCTACCCTAACTCCCTCCAGAAAGAGAGGCCATTTCTAGCTTTATTATTGCATTACAGCATAGGATGAGTTGCTGCAGAAAATAACACGACAATGTTTGGATATTGAACACAAACTCCTCAAATACAGTCACTAGAGCCTGTCACACAAGGTGGCAGCAAGACCTGTGCTTGAGCCAGAGTACCAGGGGCTGGCAAAGGGAGCCCATAGCCTCACCCAACTCCCTACAAACATAGAAGCAGGATGAGGGAAATCTGGTGGTTGGCATAGGAAAAAAAGGCAGTTCCTGGCTGGGGGAGAAAAGTGTCTCTGAAAGGATATCCCACAACTGTCTGAGGGTGTGCCAGTGCACAGGGCAAAAATGGGAATGTTTGGAGGGTCGAGGACTGGGCATGTCACAGGGTAAACATGCTGCCCTGCCCTGCTGCCTCAAAACTACCACTGCAGAGCCTGATAAGGACTGCTGATAAAAGAGCAGTAGAGGGGCATTACTGAACTGTGTTCAACAGCTCCCACCTCCACCAGCTTCCAGCACACAAAAGGCAAATTCTGATTTTTGTCCCGTCAGTGATTTTGCCTCATCTTTTGTACAGCTCCAGATGCTCCTTAAAACAGAGCAAGTAATATTTTTGCTTCCCATTTCAGTTATTTTAAAGTTTCCTTATTTTTAACAGCCACTTCTTTAAAGTGAGATTTGAGTCTAAATGAGGACACAGCTGCTTCCTCCTCTTCCCTCATCTCTGCATTAGCTGCAGTTGGCAGTGAGCCTTGGAGCATTCTCATTTCTTCACGTTAAATATTTTGGAAAACAGAGATTAGTCAGAGTTGCCAAAGCGATGCTTTCAATAGCTCAGAGTTCAATAATTGACTTCCTTGAAATTTTCAACTGCCTCTAGTTACTTCTGAAGTCTCAGCCCACAAGAGAAACAGCAGGATAGCACTTTCTTAAGGCTTAGCATGATGCATAACCTGCTCCTTCTTTGCCATTTCATAACTGAAGGAATTAACACAATCAATAGCTTGGCAGCAGTGTTTAGGGAGCTTGCCATGTGGAGCCCAGGTAGGAGTTCCTCAGGCTGAAGGTCAGCATCCCACATCCTCCCAGTTCACACAAACAGCTTGTTTTGCTCTCCTCCTCCACCAGACACCACAGCATACTCACCTCTAATGTCAGTGTTAGCATGGCTTGTTGGTGCAATACACCCTTGAGGATGCCTACACCTGCACCCTGGACTGAAAGATTTAAGATTGCTTTGGACAATCTCAATAACGATTTGATTTTAGTTGCAAACAAGACCCATGTCATTTCTTGCTTGCTTTGTCACATACACCTCTAGTGTAAGACAAAATAATCCTTCTCCTTTAGGCATGATTACATAAAACAGTTTGTTCATATCTTTGACCACAAAGTCTCTTCAAATTTAGCATAAAGCCAGTAAATACTGATAATATGTATCTAAAATCTTCATGGGATGGCTTTACCTCAAATGTATCAAAAGGTCACAAAATGTTCTTTTCAAAACTTCAGTTTATCCCATCAATTTTCTCAACTCCATTTTCAGTGGCACTGTACAACAAGCAGAGAATTTCAGAGCACCAGGTACATTGACAGCAGCTCATTCCTTAGTATTTTTTACATGCTGATTTACATTTTGAAAAGACATGAGTGGATTTATGAGAAGACAAAGGTGTATATTAAAGTCACACCTACTAAATGCATAGCAAAGTGATGTGTGAGCAAAAGGAGTACCATACATAAAATATTAATCATATGTTGAGGTGTCTAACCTCTAACTTAATTGAAAATTTAAAGTGTGTATTATAAACATTTAGACTTAAGAGACCAACAGACTAATCTGGTGCATTTAAAGCTGGAACAATGAATGTGAATGAATGTTCCCCAAGTCCCAGGGGCAATGGAGTGGATTACTAAATCCTCTAAGAGCTGATGCTAGTCAATGACAGTATTTCACAAAATAAAAAGAGAGGGACAACCAATATATTTCATTGTCAACTATACCCAGAAGTGGCCACATAACAAGATATACTATTATTGAAAAGAATTGTGCAGTATTATCATCAAATTTTAAGATAGAAGATTACAATTGTGACACAGAATAAAGACCCACTTTTGGCAGCTTTTTGAAACCTCATGAGTGATAAGTTATGTCCTTCCCTTGTCAGGATATAGTTGCTTTGAAATTCCCAGACAAGTGAAATACAATACTCAAATGCTTGAATGCTAAAGCACTCATGTAAGGAAAGCACTGGGTACCACAAGTAAAATGTAGCAAATTATCTTTATTAAATAAGTCTTTTATTATTCTTCTGCCCCCATTTTAAAGAATGGGTTTGGTTTTTTTAATGGCTGAAAACAGAACTGAAAATAAAGAGCTAAAATACAAAACCTTTCAAGGCATAAACCATAATTACTCTGAAGACAGTATAGCCCACTCTGAAAGAGCTACACTCTTAATCTAAATATCCAAAACAGTAGAAAGTTAATTCCAGTTACCTCTGCACTGCCAGTTACAGGTAGCAACCAGTTACAGGTAGCAAGCAGCTCTGGAATAACAACTTCACTCTCAAAGTTTAACTAATTTCTAAGTTAGACTTTGGAACCAGATATAGACCTGCTGACATGAAGTCTTTCTGAAGTACTCTCAGTCTCTTAGCACTCAAATTACACTATGGGACAACCAAGTTAACTTGTTTTCACAAGAGCAAAGAAGGAGCCCTCAGAAGTCAGGAAGAGCCCAAAGGCATTGTAAGGAATGGCTGCCTCCTTTTAGCTCCTGCCTAGTGATATCCATAAGCTTTTCCAGTCTGAATTGTAGAGGACAGCCCTCCAACAGTCTCAGAGGCGGCTCTTCTATCACACTCTGCTCAGAGAGGGCTCACAGGGGAGACACCAGAAGATTTAAGCGCTCTCTGAGTTCAGCTTTAAGCCCCACCTGACCAAGAAGTATGAGTTCAGCCCTGCAAAGCAGAATAAGGGAATAAAAGCAAGCAGGACTGCCCAAGCATCTGAACACAAACTACTCCTTCCAGAGTCAGGCTGCCTCAGACTTGGACCAGAGCTCTAATACATATTCAAAGGCAATCAGAGAAAGTTCCATGTTTAACCCTGACCTCTGGCTGCACATGCCTGAACACACACTGGCAGCACTGGCAGGCCCACCAAGAGTTAACTTTAATAGCAAGAGGAGATAAAAAAAATTCAGCATGCCAAGTGAAATCTCAAGCACAGAAGTGCCCAAGTGTCAGCAGCTTCCCACTTACCCTTCGAGTTCACAGCAAACAAAGCTCTCTCATTATCCTCCCATGCCCTACCCCACCTCCCATCCCTCAGTTTCAGGATACTCACCAAACAAAACATATACTTCATATCCCCAGAACCGCAGGATTAGAAAAATATTTGACATTTCAAACTTCCACTAAAGCTGCTTTAATAAGTTACATGTAAGATATTTTACTTTCCACAGCAGAAAATAGAAAATTCAATTATCAAAGTGGCTAAAAGTTGAAATAAAATGCTGTGAATCTGTTTGGCACAAACAGGCCTGCTGTCTTTGCTAAAGAGCAAATCTGTTGACATTGAATATTTTAACACAGTGATCAGCTCCACAACTTGCAAGCTGCAACCACTTGCTGCTGCTCTCATCATTATGTCCAGCTCTGCCTGCGTGATGTCTCCAGCACAAGCGCTTCACAGCAAGAGCATGGCTTTGGCTGCAACAAAAAGAAATCCATACGTAACTGCAAAATGTTAAACACAGTTGGGCATGTGAGTGTAAACATCAACACTCCTGTAATTAGTACTCTTCAGTTAACACTACCAACTGAGGAAAAACTGACTTGTGACAACCAGCAGGTATTAAGTTCTTATTAAGTAGGGTCATTAACACTAATGACATTTTATCCTCTCACTCATCAATAATTCAAACAGCTATTGATTTTCAGTTTTGCCACATTAAGCTGGAGGTCAAGTATCTCAGTTACTTAGATATGACAGATTTCTGGCTTTTAGCCTGCAATTTCCTGTTATCTGGTGTCTCTTTCCCATTCACTGCAAGCACACACAGGCCAAAGTCACCATCAACTTCCATTTCTGTTACTATCAATGCCAGTGTGTGACAGAAGAACCCAGGGGAGTGCTTCAAGTGAAACATTCCAAGTCTCTCCAGAGTCTCTCTAGCTGTCACTGCAGCAGCCCCACATATAGCTTGTCACTCCAATGGTTTCTGCTGGAAGCTGTCCACCAAAGCTTGCTGTCATCCACTCCTAAGTGTTTTGCTGATGTACACAGACAGCAATCCTTTCCACTCTCTTATCACTATTTTTTATCATCATATTTATGACTAAAGGTAAAGCTTTTTTTTTAAGTAGGCCAAAAAGGGTAATACTTCTCAAAGCTTTTGCATAGCATGAGGTATTTTGGCATTTAACTCACCTCTGGTTTTTGTTCATATTTGTTTGTTCATATATTTGTTTATTATATCTAAATAAATAGTATTTTTATTTCTGGGTTTTGCTTCAAGACATCTTTAAACTTTCAGGGATCAAACTTTTCCTAAAATGATAACAACTTTTGATATAGAAATAAACTAGATTCATATATTTTATACTATAAGAACAGAACTCCAGCACTGTTAGTCTGAAGAATAGTATTTCATTGCTCCTAACTCACTTCAAAAGACATACCTGTTATCTATCTCAACACCTGTGGTCCAGTCAGCCAGTGCTGGTTCCTTCCCACTTTGCTTCCATGTGTACAAGATAATCTTCCCATTCTCTAGGCCTACTGCAACAATGTATCTATCAAGAGAATAATTATATTCATTTCATTAGAAATTACAGTAGACAGCTCAGTGAGGTCAGTTCTAATGCAGGATAGAAAGAATAGCACTCAAGCACTGTTGTTGCACCTTGCCCTTTAAATCAGTATTTATTTTTCCATGAAAAAAATTAATACATCCAAGCTGCTTCACAAAAAAATTAGCAAAGCAGAGACCTGCTACACATATTTGGTTAGGAAAAAATAAGGAGGCTATCACAACATCAGATCAGTCAATATTTTTGGAAGAATTAATGTGTTTCAGATGTGTCCATGCATCTCTCCCTCCCCTCTCCCACTTCCATTTTTCTCATTACACTGCTTGGAGAAGTCACCATACACCTGAAAAGGTGGCTAGGAAAGAAAAAAAGTAGAGGTCATTCTGATAAAGAATGGTCAAAACAATTGACAAGTAGATTTAGGGAGCTGTTTAGCCACAGGAAACTAGTTGACTAAAGGGATAAATAGTAATTTCAGATTAAACAGAAAATGACATTACAGAAAACCAGCAATACCTTCCATCAGGAGTAAGCACACGGCTGATACCAACAGCAGTCACAGAATCCCCAGCATCCAGCACTGTTGAACAAGGCTTGATTGCATCCAGCTCATTCCCTTCAGTAATCACTGGCAAATCACACTGGCCCCAGATAAGGACCTGTAAGAAAAAGCATCATCTGTGAACTTCCACTTCAATCTTCTTGTAAATGCACATACAAAAACATAAGGAATAACTTCATTAAAATAATTTCAAGGCACAGTGGATGACCCTAAAAATGGTAAAAACACCCTCTACCTACAAAGATTCAACTTTGTAGGCAGTCTGTCTGATTTCATGGAAGTTACTGACAACAAAACCAGACTCTGTTATGAAAGTTAAAGAAAAATTCGAGACCCATAGAATTATGTGACATATGCTTGTCTCACTGCATGAAAAAAGAAGGGAGAATGTCCAACTGGCAGCCCACAGTCTTGTATACACATATTCAAGCATTTTATTTAGCTTAGGAAAGTATCACTGATTTCTGTGCTAATACATGCAATAAGATTGTTGTGTATATATAAAATAGAGGCTCATTAGAACACAGTGTTTGTTATTCTAAAAGATGTTTAAAACAACCCTGGGCTTTCTAAATTCCTTTAACATTAATTACCTTTTTGTCCCGACTGCCAGTGATAAAATACTTGCTGTCTGGTGTCCAATCACAGGACCAAATGATTCGACTGTGAACAGCTGTATTTTTATCTGTGTATGCACAGCAAGTGAAGACTGGTCCTGGAATAAAAAGAGGAAAAAGCCTTGTTTCAACTGCTTTACATATTAAAAGTGATTGTTACTCTTACTAAACTCTATGTCAGAACTGCAAGAATACTTTGACATTATTCCATTCATCTTTAAAGCAACTGAGAATACTTACAACTATATGAGGTTTTTTCCAGCACTTACGACAGTGATAACTAGCACCTGTTCAAGACCATATCAGTAAGACCTCATAGCCCTAAAGCAGTAGGAACAATTCAATCTTTTAAATAAATTTCTTTTTCAGAAGAATTTAAGTAGAACACCTTCAGGTTATGTCTATCAAGTTTTTTTAAGAACACTGACTTCAGAAGTTTTTGAATAGTGCAACATTTACCTTGTGTTCACATTTCCCCAGTAATTTCACTAAAGCCCCTATTTACCAGTAAAGTCCCAACTGTCAAATCATAATGGTCCAATTGTAAAGATTAATGTGTTCCCAAAGAGACAAGCTCATATTTCAGCATGTATACCATCAGGCACTATATCTGATCAGCAGATCAGTAAATGAGAATGCTTTTCCTAAGTAGAAAAGGTTGTCATTTTGGAGCACAGACTTTAAATAACCACTTCTTGGGATGCCAATAGCAGCAGTTTTGCTTTACACTGATAATGATGTTATTTGTAGACAGAAGGGTTATTGATGAACAGATGAAAAGAGGATTTCCTCTACTTGCTATGAGTATTCATGATCCTCATCCTGAACCATTGTGTAACTACTGTAGACAATATGCCAGGCTTTAGAATAGAAGTCTGAATAGAACACAAATTCAAGCCAGGATACAACTGGACACTGTCTGAAGGGGCCAAAACTCACTGCCAAGTCTCTAGGAACATTCTATAGAGCCCAGCAGTGTTTATATGCTATTAAGCCAAGAGTGCAATGATAATCGCTTTCAGCACAAGCATCTGTTCTAGGATTCTATTAAAGTGTTCAATAGCAATCTCCTCATGATTTTGCAAGGCTCAAAGTCTTAATGAGAAAGTCAACTGAATCCTTACTATCAGCTCTTTTTCCAGACATAGCCAGTTCTAGTCAAATTAATCAATTGTGTAGGATTATCAGAAAGCCACACCAAAGACACAGATTAATCCTGTCAGGAGTCTCAAAGTGTCAGGCCATGCAAGCAGGGACAAGGCAGTTTGTGCAGGATATGGGTGCAGCACTGAACCTTCTGGCTATGCCTGCACAGAACTCTGCAATGAAGGCTCTCCTTGACAGAATGCCAATCTGAAGTTCAGCTTGTGTGCTTGATTTCAGTAAGTCAAACGTACAATCACATGCACAAGGCACGAGGACTTCATTACATCCATCAATTAAACACCATCTAAAGCCTGATTATATTCTTCTCTGCATTTTTATTTCCTTTTTATGTTTCCACATATTAATTGCATTTCTTAAATTCACAAGAGCCTACAACACTAATAATTCTCCAAAGTTTCAAGCAAAATGTCCATTAAAATATTTTATCAATTCTCTTTCAGATATTTTGCAGCCAAAAATACTGAACAAACTGCCAAGTCTACAAATGCATACATCCTTTTCACAGCTTACCTGACTCTGAAGAATCCTGTTTCCTCCACAGTGACCAATTCCTGTCTCTAGAAACAGCCAGTAAAAAGCTGTCATCAGGAGAAAATGCCAGCTGAGTAACAGTCAGATTGTGAAAAGACAAAGTCTGCAGTTTCTTCCAAGAAGTAGTGCTCCACAAAATAATTGCTGCATGTTCTTTTTTGGAAGCCTGGATGGATGGAAAACAGTATCAGTATGAATTAATGAGAGCAAGTATAAAAGTCACACATCTCAAAGTAGTAAGATATTAGCTTGTTTTTAGGCTTGCAATCCAGTAAGACTCAGCTTTCCTCTGGGAAGTTTCAACATTGTTTCCCTACTTTCTTCTAATGCTGACAATATATCAGTAAGAAAACACTTCAGACCTGTATTTCTTAGAATTTATCTTACTAATATCTTCAAATGAATCACACACAATGTAGGAATAATAACTCATTGGCAATCCACCCTCACCTTTGCAAGCCAACTGTCACTTACACAAAATCTTTCACATTTTGTGAGAAAGAAGAGGATTCAACCCTAGAAACTGGACAGCACTTTTCACTAGGTGGTGCTAGAATCTTTTCTTACCTTACACGCTGAGGCAATTAGAGTGTTTGAATTATTGCAAGCAACACAAAAAATTTCATATCCATGTCCGTATCTGAAACACACGTGAAAACAGATTTAACACATCACAATCATTTTTGCAGTATGTATCAGAGTTGTTATACTAATTTAAATCCCTTTTCAAAAATGAAAGGCAACTGCCAGGAACTTCTCACCACTGTTTTTGTATCACATCCCAAACAATTTGTTCAGCTTTCAGTTTAAACATCTGCACAATTTTTTCCATTAGAAACTGGCTATAGAAAAATCTCTGCAGCCCATTCCATAGTCCTAGAGCACCAGCACTGCAAAAGCCACCCTAATGATTAACAAAGCAGATTAAAGCAGCATTTAATGTATCCCTATTTTCTTAAAAAGCAATTTTCTCACTACTGATAGAAATCATAAGCCACATATTTGAAAACCACTGAAGAAATATGTCACAAACACACACTCAAAGGATGCCTATTCTGTGAAATATGGCAAGAAGATTTCTGAACTAAAAGGAAATGTTAGAAAAGGAAAAAACCCTCTGTAAAACCCCCAAAATTTCTAGCCTTCTCCAGAATTACAATTTTTAATCAGTCTTCACATGAGTTCTGCTGAAATCCAAGCTCACATATGCGGACTGGTATTTAACTAATAAGGGGAAATTCCACAGGGACTAACACAAATTAAAATCAGTCACAAAAAAGAATGGAAGTAAAGTAAAATTGGAGGTGTAACCTCCAGTAGACAAGTATCAGCTCAGTGGGGTGGGGTGGTTTCCTGTGATTCTCCTAGATCTGAAGAGATAGGCAGTTCTCTTAATAAACTCCTTGGTCAGCAGTGTTAACTTCTTACATGGGATTGATGTTCATGGGATTTCACTGGCAGCCACAACAGCCTTAAATGACAAATTACTGGATCTGTTGAACCAAGTCCAAAGAATCATCACTGGGCATATCCCATCAACAGACTGCCAAGGCCATGTCTGAACACTGGGAATGCAATGGCTGTCATGAAATGTAACTGTGCCTGGACCTTTCAACAGGGAGAGGGACTGGTGTGTACCCCTAACTGAAATGTTAAGTTGCAAATCCGAGTGTGTCTTATAATGATGAAGGTACTACTGCATGTCTTACTGTTAATTTGCCACCAGCAGGAGTTTTATCATAATGCTTACTTTTAAAGCACATTCCTGGAGACTGTTTTGTAGTGAAAACCGCTGCAAGCCAATTTTCTAAAACTAAAAAATATTTATTGTCTCAAAAGTATAAATTTCCTGAAATTCAATGACGGGAAAATAACCTGTGAAACAAATCCTCAGTTGTTTAGGTTTTAATCTCCTCAAAGTAGTATTTGAAGAGCAGTTGATTTCAAGCTTCTGCATGCAATGATTCTTTTGCTAAATTGAAATGTCAAAATGTAACTATTCTTACTAAATTAACAGAAAACACAAAATATTTTCCTCTTGCAAAATTACATGAGTAGAACTATCTTAGGTCAGACCAGCAGCTGTATAGGCCATTGCTGTCTCCAGTAAAGAGAATTAAGCTATTGGCAACTGGAGATGCTGTTTTAAAGGAGTGTATATGAGCCTTGACAGCATAGGAGCTACAATACAGTCCCATCCTCTGATCCCATAAATAAAATCTGATCTCTTCACTACATAGTACACCACCAAATAAAGGTTCACAATGGAGAGAAGTAACTGCATGAATGAATAATGAAATTATCTTTTCAACCACAGGCAATTTTGCCTCAGCATTGTACAATGCACAGCATTTTTTAACGCACAGGTAGACTGAATGGACTTTCAAGTGCCCAGACAAATGAATACAGTAATTTTCAAGTGTCAAAAAGGATCTCTTCCAACTTCCAAGTGTATTACATTAAATATGCATACATACAAACATATATATTTATGTCATCACTCAAGCTTTAATCTCAGCATGCCGCATGATAATTTTCCAAGGGGATAAAGATTAGCATATTCTCACAAGATTTACCATATTTTTAAAGTTATTATATTATGTAAAAAACTCAGCCAGTTCTTCATACTAAAACCTCCTCAAGCAAACACTTTGTAAAACCCAACACTAATCCTTCAAAATTTGGTGTCAAGTTAGAGCTAGGAATACACAAATGTCAATGACAAACAAGCTATTTTTAGCAAGTCAGTGCCTCACACTGTTCTTCTGCTGCTATGGCAACTTGAAATCTACATTATGTGATTTCATGTTACTTCTTTCAAGATTACTCTGACCAAAAAATCTGAAAGTCTATGAAGGCTTTACATCTTGTTGCTCTTGCATAAAATGATCTATATCATTAGCTGTGTCTCTAAAACCAGAAAAAACTGCTCAGATAAAAGTCATCTAAAGACTGTCATAAAACAGAGTTATTTTAATGAATGCAGGATATAAAGGCAGATAAGCAGTACTCCCATAGCAGAGTATAAAATATTAATGTCCCACTACACTTAGTGAAATGTCAAAGGCAAATGATGAAGAATTTTGGCCTTGGCTCCTTTTCACTACTCAAACATCCCTTATCAATCTATTTATGTGAGTGCATTAGCAGCCATAGAATGCACAGAAGAAACAGTTAAAGTAATAGTTAGAAATTACAAAATGTGCAGGTATGGTCTAACATCCACTGGCTTTCCTCCTAAAATCATTCTTGAGTACAAACATAGTAACAGAGCTTAAAAGCATTCAAATCAGATTTACTGCCCAATTGAAGGCAAAGATGAACTCCCACAGAACTTCCCCCTCAGTTCAATGAAGCCAGCTGCAGAGCATTTTCTCAAAGCTTTTTATTTCCTTCCTCACAAAGCTGGTAATGTAACTGCAATGTTCCTTCCTGACAAAAGTGGTGACTTTAACCATCAGCAAAGGCTCAACAATCTTCTTGTTCCAGCCTGAGACCCTTTCAGGAGATTCAGATAAATAAAACCACAAGAGATTGAGATTATTCAATTTCTTTGTGCTATACTTCAATACCAAAACATTAAAGATTTTGAAAGTGTAGCCTCATGTTACTGGGATTCTTAACAAATCATGTGAAAATTGTTGTGAATTTCAGAAAAGGAAGAAAACACAGCTGAAGAACTCTAAAACGCTGCAACCTCAAAACAATTATCATGGCCACGTAACTCCATTATCTTTGCAACTGACAATCACTCTGTCAGCATTCAATACTCAAACCAGCCTTGTTACCATCTTACTCAACACTTATCACTTTGCTCTACCTCTAGACACACTAGTTTAGCTGCTGGCTCTATTGTAAGGTGCATCTATTGCACCTTACAACTCTGACAGGAGTTAGGGGCAAGCTCTTCCATGGATGCCTCAGCCTCTACTTCCACACCACATCTGCAAGCCCGCCCTATGAATTGGAAAGCAGCAGAAAGCTCCTTACACAGAGAGACCTTCAGTATAGATAAGGCTTTAAGGAGAAACAACCAACTAAAATAAAACTGTGACACATCAGTTCTAACTGCCATTTTCTTCACTGTTTCCCAATTTATATATATATATATAATTTATTTATTTTACAAGCAATACAGTACACACAAAGTCAAACCACATAGTACAACAGGAAGAGTTACAAGGCTAGGCTACATTAACATGCTGCAACTGCTTTCTGGAAATTTTGTAACAAAGAACAAAAGGAAAAATAAAACTTACAACTTCTGAATTTCAGGCCATAAGGTATTCTGCAGCAAGTGATCCTCTGGTGGAGGTTCTGAAAAAGATTTGTACAGCCTATTCAAATTTGGTTTTTTCAAATCAGCTAAATAATGCTTCAAGTTTATATTCAATGAACCTCATTCTCTATTACGTATAACAGGAATAATTCTCATACCTGTAAGGATCAAGGGTTGAAAATAAATCTCTGGATACTGATTTGAAATGGTATTAAATGATTCTTCATCCTCATCTGGTTGAATAGCCATATCTCCTATTAAAGTAAAGACTTCATTAGCTAGAGAACTTACTAGAAAGGAGGGAAAATATGAGGATTTATTATACAAGTAAAAAACATCTATATTTATACAACTAGTTGAAACTAGGTTTCTCTGCTTGCAGAGTATAAAAATATGAATCCTAGAAGCTGGTTATTATAGTGCATATGAGAATGAGAAGATTAAAAAAAAAATAATAGTCTAACCTTCATTTTGAAACTCTCTCCATCAGCATAATCTTTCAGAGATTCCTAAAAAGAATTTCACTGAGCAAAGCAGTCACCAGAGTTCAACCTGTGTTTCCCCAGTGTTAAACCTTTCTTTCTGTACTTGAAAAGTTTAAGACAAAAATCTCTGATACAAGTGATGAGTTCCTAAATTTGATGTAGATTACTAAATGGAAACCTATATTTGAGCAGGTATAGCTATAACTTGCAAATTTCAGTAAAAATGCTGAGGGCTCAGTCCTTAGCTTTAGGCAAAAGTATCAGAGGTAACCATAACTAGTTAATTGTAAGTGAAAATTCAACTCTGTCCTTCATTGTGAAGGCATTAAGAAAAAGCTACAGAGATGGGGAACAGTTCCTCTCAGATAGAATCTAACTTTTTGCCAAATGTACCTCTCAAGCACAGCAGTTTCAAAAAGAAAGTACAGAAAAAGCAAAGCAAAGACTATCTTCTCATTCATCCCATCTTTGCTCTCTTTGAAAATGAAATGAGCACCATTCATCTGAGACCACTGATCAGCAGAAGATTCCTCTGCAGAGTGAGAGAGATCACATCTGTGGTGTTTTAATCCCAGCCACCAATGCTGACAGCACTGTGTGAGCAGTGGTGGATGATGCAGGGAAGTTCTATTTACTGAGCTGCCTCCTTGACATGAAGTCAATGGAAATTAGTTATTCTGTGTCTGGCCACAATCCAGAAGAAGGAGGTTTTATTCCCCCTCTCACTGGAAGACCTCATGAGTTAGCTGGGGAAAAAAAAAGTTTGCCAAAATATATTTACAAGTTATTTGAAGTACAACTAAGTTGTTATTTCTCTACAAATTATTTAGGAAAATTTGGCATATTGCCATTGAAGACCTGAGAGATGAAGCTTATTAAAATGCTTCCTTTTGTAGATCACACCTTCTGATAAAACCTTAGGCAGAGAAAAAAAACAGATCTGACCTAATTTGTACATTCCACTATAGCGCATTTTTACCAGAGGCTTTATGAAAAACGAGATCCCTGATCTCATTCCCAGCATCAGGAAAATACTTTTTATCATTCTAGGGAGATGTCTGTCCCTCCTTCCCTGTTTCCCCACAATGTAATCTCCACTGCCTCTCCAAGATATTAGCTACTGTTGGTTAACTAATATTCTTACTTGTGTTTTTTACTTTAAAACACCATGTTTAGGTGCTAGCAAAAAAATAATCGCTTTGCACGATTTTATTTCTAGATTCTGAACTTGCAGTCAAGACTACACTTACAGACCTAATATGTACACTAAAACAATCCCTTAAATAAAGTTTCCACATGAAACACCACAACCATTATTTCTCATTAGCAATACCTTCAAAAACAGCTTTATTGGATAATCCCAAAGCTGGCACAGTTGCACCTTCTGGGAGATCAGATGACTGTTGAATTAAAGAAAAAAGAAAGGTTACACACAGATTGTCACATAGGCTTGCATTTCAAAGGCCACAGCTTAAGGAATCCCTGAGAATTTCTACAGTTACTTTCCTAGAGAAGTGAAGGGGGCACTTTGAAAAATTCTTGTCTAGAACATACCCTGGACAAAAAAAAGACCAGTACTCTGGCAGGAAGGGGAGAAGGAAAAAAAAAAAAAAAAACAACCAACAGAAAAGTGCTTTTCTAAGGCCCCAGCTCAAGGATTTTCTTCAACACTAATTGCAGGTTTTCTTCCACAATTATATTTATTCTAGCACATACATGACAATTAATCTATTAACTGAGAGCACTGCAGTTTTTAACACAATAGAACTGGGAAATCGTTGTTCTGAAGTGAAATAATAAAGCAGCATTTTGGAAAAGAGAACAGAGGGTGACTGCCTGTGACCACAACTTGAAACACAGCTCAGTAAATAGTACTGAGATGTGGCTGCAATACGTGTCCGTTTAACGCAGCACAAGGGAAGGACAAATCATGAGACAGAAAATACTTCCATAATGGTACAGGAAAAGAGTAAAAGTTTAGAAAGGATAAGTGAACTTGGGGACCTTTGTGTAGAGATAAAAAAAGATTTAATAGCTGTAAACCCACTTCCTTATGGTATCAGGAAAGTTCAAAGAGAGACTGTTTTACTGAATTAAATCAATATTTTAAGTGACAGCATAAAATGTACTTAAATGTTCATAATTAGAAGAGAAAATGTATCAGAGACCCAGACAAGCATAAGGCCTCTAAAACAAAAATGGTTCCTCATTACAACCCAAAGTATAATACAAACCTATGGATTTGAACTGAATATAATCCTATTCAACCCTTTTAGAATATAAAACTGTTTTTTGGTTTCAGATACTTTTTTGGGGAAGGCATTTAAGCCACATTAAGAAAAAGCTTCCCCACTTCAGTGATAAAAAGCTTTCACAGAAAATAATTTCAAGAAAGCTATTTAAAAGCAGCTGTATAATTAGAGCTTATAAAGCCTCCCTCTTTAACCAAAGCCCATGTGAAACACTTTATGATATGAATCAAAAAACAGCACTCAGAGGAAGAGCCAATAAGAAAAGTCTAAATAAAGTAAAATAATGACATCTGCCACCCTTATAAAAGCACAATGTTATTTGTACAATGGTCATTATGCAAATGCTTACAAAGTCTTGTGGAATTAAATCACTAAGAAGCTACTTATGTAACTTCTTGCTATCGAAAATGATTCTATTTCTATCCCAGATATTTCAACTGTTAAATTAAATGGAAAGGCTAATCCATCTCTGAGAAACTGCACAAAAAGTCCCGCTTTTGAGTGAGATACGCAAAAACCATGTAAGGCACTGTACAGAGGCAACTATCTTGAATGAAGTCTGCTCCACCAAATGCAGACAAAATCAGAATTAGACCTTAATGCAAATGGGGAGCAAACAAAGGATAGCAGCACAAGACAGCTGACATGTCCACAACTAAGAACTGGAATGTAAAGAAAATTTCAAATGCCAACAGGAAATAAAGCAAGTACATATTTATAAATATTTGTATGCAAGAACTAAAAATAGTGCTGAAATCTTCATGCTATTTCAAGCATGCAATTGCAAAAAAAAAAAAAAAGTAATACCAACACATAACCACACAACAATAATTAGAACTAGGCAAGACTACTACACTCTTAAATTAAGGGAAAATACACCAACAGGCTTTACTGTTTGCTTCATCTGCAAGTGTGCACAGCGATCTGCTTTGGTTTGAGTTACCTAAAATTTACCCACACTCTTTTCAATCTTTTGACACAGTCTTGCTTGGTTTCAGATAGAACCCGTTTCATATAACAACAGCATAAAAATACATATGAGACAACGCACATGGAAGCAAGCAGAAGAGTAAGGAAAGTAAGGTTATAGTTTCAGTACAACTAAAAGAATTTTTACAAAGTTTAATGCAATCTGACATTTTCTGAAGCATTATTTATTTTACATCTAACAGGGTTCTCTTTGTGTAGCATTGCTTTAGCGTACTTACACGGGAGCAGAGCTTCTCCATTGGGATCCCAGTGATGTTACTGAAGTTTTCTATAAAGTTCTTGGGAGCACGGAAAACCCGAAGCACTTTTTCATCTGCTCCTGACACGAACTCAAAGCGGCCGATCATCGCCAGGCAGCGCAGGTCGTACCCGTGCACTTGAGGCCTGGCAATTTCATGCCACGTCACCTACAAGGGAGCAGACACAGCTAAAACACAATTCTTAAACAGAGAAATAGGGCAATTTAAAGTTCCAAAAAAGCAGCACTACTCTACTTGCTGAATTTATTAACACAAAGCAAAGTCAAGAGCAGCCTTCTACTGATGTGCATAAAACTGGTGCTCACATACATCAGTTGAATCCTCTTTTCCCACCAAACCATTCCTGTAATTAGTAAACCGTGTCCCTGCACAGATGTGTTTAAGGAACTTACTGTGACTACTTCATGCTAGACAGTCAGGAATAAAACATAATTTGCCTAAGCAAAAAGAGGTTTCTATCCTACTACTTCCAAGACTGTACGTCTGAAAGACCTAAGAAACGTAGTGATAATTATCCTGCTTCCTTCATCTGTTCTTTCACAAAGAACAGCAGCACTGCTGTCAGCAGGCTATAGGTTCCTACTGTCCTCTTTTCTTTAAAGATTTGATTCAAGTGAGACCATTTAATAGAAGCTTTGCAAAAAACTGACAAAACCATAATAGATTCTAAGTGTCATTTGCTATTTCACCCAGATGATACTTCAGTTGAAAAAATTCAGTGCGTACTTTTGAGTTAAGAGCTAGCAGAACCAGAATCAATTGGAATAACTTAGTCTACTTCAGTATTCTAATGCCTATAGCCCAGACTAGATATCACGTGAGTATAAGCAAAGGCATTATATTGACTGTAAACTGCACACATCACCTTAGAAACTCAACTGAGTTTTGAATGCTGAAGTTTCTGATAGGACCTAAATGGGAATTTGAGACATCCTACAAAATCTCATGATTTCACAAGGGCTTGATTAGTTTTCAGTGAGGAAAAAAGCATGCATTCTTTAAATAAAGATAAAATCAAACAGTGCAACAAGCCCTTCTTACCCTTTACTGGGTACATCTTTGCATAGTACACAAAAAACTCAAACCCCAAACAAAGAGAGGGCTAAATAAGTCATGGAATAAGCTTCTTCCAGAACAATCAGAATGGAAATTTGCATGAAAAATTGAAGCTGATTGTTATCCCTGTTTTCTGATATTTTGATATCAGAACTTAGACTTTAAGAAAGGATGCTTGTTTGCATTCAACACTTCGTTTCCTTTTTATAGGGAAAAATGTGAGCTGTAATACTAACTCTCCATAAACATCTGAACCATCCATTGTGTCATGTTAAGACAAACATCAGATGTCACCTGTTGTAATTTTTCAAATGCTAAACAGTGAGATAAAAAAGTAAGGCATTTTAAAAGCCTGTGTTATCCAAGTTCATGAGCAGCAGAGCTAAAACCTTTTCCAGGGTTCAGAAGTACTGAATAAACATCTTCAAAAGACCCATTTCTATTCCAGCCCTCCATTTCACCCATCCAAAAAGGATACTAAGGCTTTCTCCCACATCTCATGCAGTAGCAAATACTGAAACTACTTAGAGTTACACCTGGTCAAATTAGCCTGGTGGCTACTCTGTGTCAGAACAGGCAAAGTACAAGAATTCAGTTCATGCCATATTTAGATATGAAGACTACAATCACTCTGCTAAATCGACTGATTCAAAAGTTTCAGGGTGAGCTGTGCAGGTAAATCACACAAAGATCAGTTCTTTCAGAAGACAGGATTAAAAATTAGCAAGCAGCATAACTAATAAAGAGTGGTGCTTCAGTAGGTCACAGAGAAAGTGACATTGACAACCCTTGAATGCTGCCAACTTACATCATGTGCTAGTCCTGAATTTTGTTTTGATATATTTAATGTATCCTCCTGAGTGGAGATTAGGGTAAAAAGCAGGGAAGGAAACTGGAAATATCCTTCCTACAACACAAGGCAAAACATAACTCTTGAAATGGGACTGCCACCACTCCTGTGTGGCCTGGAAGAAGGAAATCAAAGACCTGATGGCAAATTCACTCTCAGAAATATCAGACCTGCTGTACTGGTCTACATTACAGAAGCTTTGATGAGACAGCTATAATAGCCTCCCCAACCAATGGCACAGGGCCTTATATGACTACAGTCAGTCTAGCTTCTGCCAGTTTCCTGAATGGAATATTGGTACTGTACTGCCAGAAAAGGTTGTATTTGTGGAGAAGAAAAATGCATGAGAAACAAGACACAGGAACTTCTAAACAGACTTTCCCCCAGTCCAAGGCAGGAGGAGCGAGCAAGCAGCTGTGTGGTCCTTAGTTGCTGGCTGGGGGTTAAAACAGGACAGGCACCAGCTGCACTCATGCAGTTCAGATAATCATTCTAGTAAAACTGAGTCATTAGCAAATTAATGTAAAAAAATACAGTGAGAACTTTGTTTAGATTATGTTCATGTAAAAAAGCACAACCAAAGTTTAGTTTCTTTATTATTACCTGCAGCAGTGTAGCCAGTTGTTAAACACTGCAATAGGTGGTTATCAGTACCAGTCATGTATTCCTCCTTCTCAATTACTGCAGAGCCTGCTTTCTGGGAGAACACTAACTGAAGGAAATCTGGACATGAACTCAGGATTGAACTGCAATCATGCTGTGTGATTGCAAAAACTCTGCCACTAATATTTTTAAAGTGAAAACAGCACATACTCCATTACCAAATCAAGCAGTTTTAAACAGACCATCGCTTGTGGAACTTGAAGGCTTGAGTTATATTCACACAACACAGGACTGACCAAGCCCCCTTAACCACACTCACAAAATCTTTGAAGATCATACCTCTGTTTCTTCCTTCCTTTTCCATGGAGCAAAGAGCCTTGTAGTTTGATCAAAGCCCACACTGATGACAAACTCTCCTTCTGGATCCCACTTCACATCTTCTACACTGTTAAAATGTCCTGAAATCACAACTTCTGGAGTCCATTCTTTCTGTGAAAAGAGTTCCACAAAGAAGTAAGGAGTTTTTCATTTGACTGATTGGCACATTCTAAGCAAAATAAAACTATAAATGTGCTTACTAAAAAAGTAAGAAAAAGACATTGGTAAATAGCAAATTATTAGAACTCGTGAGAGGCTGAAGAGACACAAATACTGATGTATTGCTCCCAAATGAAATAAACTTGTGTTATTTGTTCAGCTGTGAACAAAGCACAACCACAAAGGAGTTCAAGCTATACAACTGACTTCTTACCCCACAGGTAAGAAACAGGGTTTAGAGTCTGGAGGATTTCAACCTTCCTTCTATGCAGGAATGAGACTCCTACAGAAAAGGACCATTTCAATCACTAAGTTTACATTATACTGTTACAGAATAACAGAATAATAGTTTTAACAGAAATTTACCTCAAATGACTTAAAAGTACAATTCTTTTAAGTAATACTACTAACAAACAAACCAATGTACCTTATTAACTGTATCCTGTTTCCAAAGGTGTAGTGCTCCATGGAAAGCATGAGCGATGATCATTGAACCATCTGGACTAAACTGGCAGTCTAAAAATCCAAGAGTATTGCCACCCACTTCACCTACCCGTACCTAAATTAATGAACAAAGTGAAATTCCATGAAAATGGCCTTCCATTCCTACAAAATCATTCTTACTTCATGAGATGAAAAACTACCTCTAGACAAGAGTTGACATCATATACATAAACACATTCGAAGAATATTTAATTGCAAAGATAAGCACTGAAATGTCATGGGAATTAAAGCTTTGTGCCAGCTGAATGGAGCCTCCCTTCATATTCATCTCAAGATAGGATTCCCCTAAGGGAAAGAAAACACTGCAATAGATGAGATGCAAACCCAAATGTTCTGTGTTTCAGTCCAGCTTGTTGGATGCAACAGTTCCTTATCATCTGTTGCCTGGCTACTGCTCTGTTGCACAATAAAGAAAAATGATCCAAAGAAACAATAGTTCCCAAGTACATTTTTTTTCCCTACTTAATTTCCAAGATTCCCTAGCATACTTTCACTTCCCTGTTTCTCCATGAACAGCTGCAATTTGATCCACACTCCTGTGGCATATTCTGGCCTCTATTTTGTGCTTCTCTTCTGACTTCCCATATATGCACACACGCATACACACAGGCCTTACAGTTGCTCTAGTGCCCTTCCACTTTTTAAATTTTATTAAAAGATTAATAAAGTTACATTTTCAAGTTTTATTCAAGACATAAGACCATAATTTCTTTAAAGCTTTCAACTCCCCCATTCTTATACAGCCTCTTTTAAAAAATGAACCAATGTCCCATTTTAAATGGCACTGCACTAGTAGTTCAGTTTTACTAGCACTCATTCAAAAAAAATATCACTCATATTGAAGTGACTTTGACAGGCCATGCTAGAGGCGGAATTCTAGTCTCACCTCTGAGCAGGGGAATGAATTTCTGAAGACATCATGTTCATCATATCAGGATAAAAGAGAGAAACTGGGATGTTCCCCTTGTGCCCTTCCTCCCTGCAGGCTTCCAGCTCAGACTTTCCTCTCTGGATGCAAAATGGATTTTTGCAGTTAAAATGTCTGATCTGAACTTGAAGCTACACATTTGTGATCAAACCAATGCAAAGAGAATGTAAAATTAAAGAATCACAACTTGCAATAAGCTTTACTACACAACCCATTTTTAGAAGCTTTTGAATTTAGCCACAACTCCCTGTTACACCTAGGGACATCAAATGGCACCTCTATGTGATTGCCCTTTCATGAACTAATTTCTACTTCAAACACAAAGCATCAGAATTTTTCAATGAAACAGAGGAAAAATTAAATACCCTACTGTAATTCCCATTTTTTCACCCAAGAGACAAATGGAACTTTCTTTGTGACAGGAGAGCCCACAAACAATGGCTGGCATAACCCAACACAAAGAACTTCAACTGAACTACTGCCATGTGGAAAAGCAGGTCAACTGAAAAGACATCAATCAAAGCACTGGAGAAATCTGGTTGTACCACTTGTTTATTTAGGATGATCCACATCAGAACAGCCTTCAGAATACTCACATGAGTGACACATGAGTATTCAGCTCAAATGGAAGAAAAACCTAATGACACAGCCATTGATCAAGTTACTGAGAGTAAAACCAGGCTGGTGAATTGCATGTCAGCTGCTTTGTGGTAACTGCTTAGGTCACATTTCCACAAGGATGAACTGCAAATAGTTCAGGAGGGCTTCCTCCTCCTCTTAGCAGGAGCACATATCATGCATTACTATGCAGCCCCTGCCTTGTACACTCTGAATGACAGCTGAGCACAAACATCCCTTACAAACTCCTCAGTACAGCAATAAGAAAATAAACAAGCAATAAAAATAATATCATAATGCTTTTTTTTAAATACAGTTTTACTTGCAACAGAGCATCAGAAATAGTATTCTTGCAAGAAAACACTTAACCTTTCTCTGCCAAAATTTTAGAGTTTTTGCACCCTACACACATGATGTACACACATGATGCTGGAAACACAACTTGCATACAGCACATATTGTGAGAAAGACTGACACTTGCCTGTTCTAGCCAGACTCCAGATTCTTTATCAGGTTCCCAGATGATCACGGTTTTGTCCATTGATGCAGATAATATCCTCATTGGTTGTTGCATGCTGCCATCTACAGTACAAGGAAAATTATTACCCTACAACCTAGGAGCATATGTTCTAAAGAAATTAGGTAATACTGAAATATAAACATATTTTAAAAATTGTTCAGCATCAGAGATATGCAATGCCTTTCTTATATGCCAAATTTACAGGCTCTACGTCCTTGCTGGGCATTCTTTAGTAGATATTGTATTCCCAGCCATCATCACCCAAAGAAAAAGTAAAACACATACATGAGAACAACCATATTCCAGTTTTCTCACTCCAAACTTATACTGAATTAAATATAATCTGGAGGAAAAGCTAGAGTTTCACAAAGAAAATGCACAGCACTTCTCAATTCTATTCCTTAAGTAAGTTTTTACTGAGTGATTTACAGTTTAAAATAATTGCCCAGTATTCACTGTTTGGGTTTTTTCCCAAATTGTTAGGTTTGCTACTGACTTCAGCATACTCCAGCACCCTACAGTACATACAGTAACTCAGGACTGCTCCCCAGAATGCAATGAAACACTCCAGAAAAAAAGCCCAACACAGAATGGGAAAGAGGGAGCTGCTTCATCACCAGTTGTGAAACCTGTAGGAAAACCACTGAGGAACTCTTCATGATAATAAGAGATATTGGCAGGCATCTCATGAGGTGATATGTTAACAACAGACTTCCCACCTTACCTTCTGCACTGAGAATATGTCCCTCAGATCAGTTTGCCTCTAGTGAAAATCTATTTTAGGGAACCCAGCACTGGGCACGCCACAGAACAGAAGCAGCTTTACGTATATGGAAGCACCTGGAAAACTTCACGGTCTAACAGGACAGTTTTCAGATTGCAGTGCAAGGCTGACAGGCCTACATTGTGCCTAAACCTTTTTCTAAAAGGCTAAACCTTTTACTGGTGTCTAATTTAGAAAAAAAGAGAAAAGGCTAAGGACCAGATAACTAAACCAGTATTTTTAAAGCAAGTCTTGTGTCTTTCATTAAGTGTATTTTGATATTCTAATGGCACTCTGCTGTTCAAGTGCTGTACACACCAGCAAAGCTCTTCTTTGTACTGCTGAAGTCACCTGCCATCAGTAACTCTAAAATATGACAGAAAAAAAGACACCTTTACGAGAACAAATAGTCAAGGGTGTTCTGACTGTGCAATGTCAAATCAAGAATCTCCTTCCCTTATGTCAGGCAGATACATAACAGCAAACCAGTACTGCAAACAAGGCTGTCAGAACTGAAGAATTTCAAAAGAAAGATAAATACTAGAGCAAAATGTAAAATTAAAACTATAAATAACACTGTTTCAATGGGAGTCTGCACTTATGCCTTAAAGTTACATGCTTTAGAAAAACTGATACTCCAGCAATCTACTCATAAAACATTATTTGCAGAATTTAAAGACTCATCTCTACAGGAACAAGTGAACATGCAAATATAATACAAAGCCACGTGACTGTACTCTCTGTATACGACATTTAACACAGGTGTTTGATATCTTTTTACCTTTTGAAAATGAAGGTTGCCAGTGAACTGCATACACCCAGTTTTCATGACCAGCCAACACAGACTCCAAAGAAACTGCATATGATGTGTCAGCATCTGCCACAAATCAGAGAAAAAGTTTATTTCTTTCTAAAAGCCAAGAAAGACCAGTTATTTCTGATATCTTTAGTGAAAGCAATCAACTGCTTTCAACATCTACCAATATCTCAAAAGCTTCCTGACACTGAACACCTCCTTTAAATCCTACTTTGGGAAAAGCCCTGAGGACCAGATTTATGGTCACAGGTCAGTGCATTGTCTCAGAAGGGGCTCTGAGAATTCCTGGAGAACTCTCAAGCAGCGTTGAAATAAACACTCTAAACTGGCACTACGCGTGCTCTTATGCATATTTGCATCTCCAAATGACTGCAAACACAAGCATTAAAAACTTCAAAGAGCGAATCAGGATTTGCAGGAAGTATCATGAGCACTTTTTACACATACCTTCATTATATTAACTAGGTTGCCAAACCATTTACCCTACAATGTCAGCAATGCAAGCATCTGATGTTACCATGCTTAAACAGCTCGTTAAATGACCATAAAGTAAGCCTGTACATACTTATCTGTTACTTGCAGTATTTTTCTAATCTTTAAGTTATAGCAGCACCTTTTAATTCATTGAATTCAAAAGAAAATGAAAGCTAAGCTATTAAACTGGAGAACTACAGAACAGCTTCTCTCCCATAAACAAATAAGTGTCCTACATATTGCATTTGGAATATGCATAACAATAACAACCCATGTTGGTATTAAGCCCTCTCACTGCTTTACCATTTCCTGTACTGTATCATTAACTTTTGGCTTTAAAACAGTAATTCTGCTTTCTTAACAGCTAAAAATAATGCAGTCAACACAAAACAAACACCTTGTCAGCTTCCTCAGAACCATGAAAAGATACACAAGTGAAAAGTTGTGCCAGAGAATTTTATAGCTGTTACCTACCTTTAACAGTAAAAATATTCTCTTTCAGTTTTATGGAATCATCTTCAGTTTCTGGAAGTTGCTTTAACTTTGTACATACTTTCCAAATTCTTATCAAACAGTCCTGAGCACAGCTTGCTAAGAAAAGGTCTTCACCTATTTGTTTTCAGAAAAAGAAGGGAAAAAAATAGAGCCATATTTTCATTGCAATCACTGCTATGACTAACCTGCCATCTTTCCATACATGCACCTAAGAGCATTATCCCAATTTTTCCTATTGTACACAGTATCATAAAAAAATCATTTTTATTTCAACATCAATTCACTCTCTCTACCATTCAAATTCAAACTTCCCTACTACAATTCAAATTCTTTCCTATTTTATAATACACTAGGAATAAGTCCATGATTGTAAGATGTGGAAGATATGGTAAGCACTGGACATGTTACACATACACTTCCCTACTATTTATGTGCCTTTGCTTTTGGAATTCTATCAGTCTCAACACTTGTCAAAATCTCCTTTCCTCCTTTTCTTTCTCCAGGCTTGTAGCATACTCAAATTCCTTTTTTTTTGGTGCCATTGCAATAACTATTTGATTCATTGATGTCTAAAAAGATACCCCTCGTAATTTCCCAATTTTAAAAAAAAAGGGTGGGGGGGAAGCAAGAAAAGAAAATATAAACATACTATTTCCCCCTACACTTCCTCGCTCAGATACAGAAATTTGTATATTGAAAAGGAAAAGTTGCTAAAACACCAATTTGTTTGCATGTAAGTACCAGTTAGGTAAATATACCTGAAACAGGCAGGAAAAATGTTTCAAATGGATACAAAGTTTCATCTTGATTTTTAATCTTAATTACCACCATCAAAGGAAAACAAACATCACAACCACAAGAGCTTAGGTGCTACAGTGCATCAAGGTAAATTCTTGGAGGGGTGAAACACTAGTAACTGCCATTGAACCACTATTCCACTTTATTCATCTTGCATACTGACCACAGACTGCCCACTCAACGCCTCTTATCCAATCTTCATGGCCAGGGAGTATTAACGTTTTCTGAAACTGAATAAAAACTCCTGTTACATCACAGAAATGCACTTAATGACCATGCACTTATCAGCAATAAGCTTTATTTTTTCAAGTCTTTTATATTTTATATTTTATATTTATAGCTTCTATTATCTGAAACAGAAAAAAAAATTAACCACAACTAAAGACTGTAATTTACATACAGATTTGAGACGAGCCTTTTTTGTTTTGGCACCATTGGATAAGCACAGGTAACACATACATGAGCAGGAAAGGGTGTGAACTTAAGGTGCACACCTTCAAGAGGCTACAATGTCTCTATGATACTGTTGAAATTTTTTTAAAGTTTATCAGGCTTACTGTGGTACACAAAGAATAGCATAATGCAGGTTTGATGTGACAATTTCTTGTATTTGTGTGAAGTTGATACAACTGCAGTTGATGAAGAAAATGAATACAGGTAAAATCAAGCACAAAAAGAAAAGCAAATGCTTTGACATTATTTTCAAGAATTAATTTATATTTATATTAGGATATGAATAATAAGAATCAGTTATGGCATTGGAAATAATCTCTATGTTTCTTAAATTTATTGACAAAATTTCTAAGGAAGGTATACATCAAAAACTGCTGATGGAAAACTCTACATGAACATGGGCTCAGGAACACCAGAATGCAAATACAGTCTGGATTCCCTTTTAAGAACTTTCACTAGTAATTTATTCTTGTTTATAACATATGTAACATTACCGGTTTATTTTGATTCAAGTACAACTGTTTACTCCTTACTTAGAATTTAACCCATTTCTGTTTCTCTTTGCCCAGAAACAGCCCTATTTCCATGACATTTCTGTATTCCAAGTTGAATTCCAATGTCTGAAGTAACTGCTACAGTTAAACACTAGTGTAGTTTAGTATGAATAACTCATCACATTATTTCTGGCATTATATTTTACTAAATCCTTTACCTGGCCTACTTAGAACTATGACTAAATGACAGCCTTTGCTATCAGTACAAGTCTGCAACTGAGGTCTCTCTTCCAATCTGTGACAGGGAAAAAGAAAAAAGGAAAAATGTGTATGAAAAAGAATCCATAGTCAGAAATTGGTGCCTCTCTCTTTGATCCAATATTTCTGATATTCCCCAAAACTATCTTCCCATCAAACAGTGTTACTCTGCCTCTCCTCATCACACATTTGCAGTCACAATCATAAAATGGTTTTGTTTGGAAAAGACATTAAAGATCATCTAGATCCACCCTCTCCAGCCATGAGCAGGGACACTTTCCACTAGACCAGGCTGCTCAAAGCCCCATCCAATCCGGCCTCAAGCTGCTCCAGGGATGGGGCATCCACAACTTCTCTGGGCAATTGTTCCAGCCTCACAGTAAAGAATTTCTTCCTAATAGCTACTCTAAACCTACCCTCTTTCAGTTTGAAGCCGTTGCCCCATCCCCTGTAACTCCATGCCCTTGTAAAACATCCCTAAAATTACAGAGCCATCTATATGTGAGATACATGACCAGAACAGGATACATGATCAGACTAAGCTAATCAGATACTTCCAAACCAGAAAGTTTAGGTCTTAAGAATGTGTTCTCACAGCCACCTAAGCCTCATTTGGCTGGTCACTTCTGCAGCCACTGGCACTTCTAGATAGGGCATTCCAGAGAGATGTTTAAGTTAAACACCAAAGGGGTCACATGCAAAGGCAGCAAGGAACAGTCCAGGAAGTGACATGAAACAGTAACCTAAAGATTTTTCTGAAGATTACATGCTTCTGGCTATACAGAAAAAATATCTTCTATTATCAGATAACAGATAAAACACATTTATTTATTCATGTATATGATCTTTGAGAAAATGCTCTGTATTTTACAGTCATTAAGGTTTTACAGTCATTGGTAACTTTTTTCCTAACTGAAAGATTTTTTTAGGCTGAACTGTTGCTAACATCCTTCTCTTTTATTGTTTCTTTAACACTAAAATAATGTGTGCATCTCCTGAAACTTGACCCTAATATTAACCTAAACACACATCAAATCATTTTCTCTTTTCAAGGTATTGTGGTGTGGCATTTTTTATAATTACCCATCTTACATCAAAGAGATCTATTAAGAAAAGCAGCCATTTGTTTTCCCTTAAAAGAGTAAAACTAATTATTTTGAGATTATTAATACCACGCCAGATTTCTAAGTCATTTCCTGAACAGGTTTTTAGGCACTACTTAGCTTGAAGTCAAGCATGCAGTTCTTTTGTGCTGAAGAACAAGCATATTTAAATAGTCAGCTAGAAGTCTGTACTAATTTTTATATGCTTCCATTGAATAGACCCACTGACCTATTCACATGATTTAAGGTGGAGACTGCTGAATTTTATTACCTCATACTCACTGATGGCAGTAATACCAGCATCAGATGGTGTATGAGGCTGAAGAGAGATACCCCAAACCCCTGAAAATGCACCCAGTCCCTTAAATGGACTCATGCTGCTTTCCCATCCCTACAACAACATCCTCCACTCTTCACCAATCTGAGCAGAGTCAGTACAGTGGCTGGAAAACAGAGGTGAACACAAGGGCTATTACCACATACAGAAATGAAGCATGAGGAACACAACATTCTTGGTTATATGATTTAATTTTAGGTGGTATGTGAGGAGCAAGGAGTTGGAGCCAGCAGTCCTAATGGGTCTCCTCAGTCCTGAGATATTCTAAGATTTTACGATTCAGTCAAAGTTTTCAAGATACTGGTTCCCATAAAAATAAAAACTGTTGACTGAAACTGAGCAAGGAGGAGTGTATGCTGTTATGCTAGGGTTTTTTTTGTATTGTTTTTGCCCTTTTCTTTGAAGTTTATGTCTCTTGGTATCCTATATTCAGTTTCTTCAGATGTATTCAGTTCTAAAGTTGAATCAATATGAAGGTTCATGCAGATGCACATGGTCATTACTTTTAGGTGATTCAGTCAAAGTTTCTATTATTGTCTAAGTGCTATATACACCAGTGTTTTCAGCTGTCATTCTTCTCTTTTTTTACAGATTTTGTTTTTATAGTCTCATATTTCTTCTCTGTTTCAGTTTCCACTTGGTCCTCACTGGATACATAAGAGGTTACAGCATCAACAGTTAAATCCAACGAAACCTCCTGGTCTGACTACTTCACAAGCTTTCCCATGCCTCTTACCTGATCTCTGAACATTGTTGCTTAGCAGCAATCTGGTCTCTTTCCTTTTAAGCAAAGAATAAAGCTGTTCTGTAGGCAGCACAACTAATGAAGCTGTGGACATGCCCAGCACACTCTGCGCAACTAATCCTGCCTACACTTTGGGCACATCTCTTTCAGGACCAGGCTAGTAGCCTGGCTAGTAGTTTGGTAAATTTGGCAATAGGGGTCCAAGTCTTCTCATTTTTTCTCCAGCAGACACTAGATGTGATATCCCTCCTCTATGCAGCTGTTAATCTCAACAGATTAGAAAGAGCCTGAATTATCTTTGATTCATCTCCCTATTCCACTTCTCAACTATGCCAAACTATTTGGGTGGAACCCAAAACACACGGTGCACCATCTTCTCAGAAAAACAAAGCTCAAATAGAAATGTTTTGGTTTAAAACTCTAATTTAATCTGCTGGTTTATTTACTTGCCCTCTACAGGTCACATCTGTAGGTGTTATATCCCTAGCAGGAAGACATATTATGGTTTCTGAAAGATTTTTCCCTGGATACTTTTATAAATCAATACCCTCTTCCATCAAGTCAGAAAAGCAAAGAATTCATTTTCTCTCTATTATATAACACAGTAAGGGATCTGTGGGTAAGGAGTCTCAAAAGATGAAAAGCATGCCCACTCAGTTCTAAAAACCAAGCAGCTTTTAATGAACAAATACATTTTGACTACAAAATAATGAGTTTACCAAAAAGTAACCTGAATTAGCTAAGTAAAGATGCCTCATCCTCCCTCAGAGTCTAACAGTGAGTGCCCTTTAAGTTTCATAAGAATGCCTTGTTATGAATGCATGTTCTACCTCTGGATTCATACTCACATTCATAACAACCTTTCTGAGGATGTTAACTAAAGGAAGTGCTTTACAGGAGTCACTGAATTCACTGAACCGAGCTACAGGCCCTTACCAGTAAGGGAATGACACAGGAGCTAAGATTCTAATCACTCTCCTATGCCAAGTTCCAGTAAAAAATGGCAAGGCTATAGTAACACTTCCTTCAAATACCTTTAATACTACTAAGAAGCCATAAAAAGGTGTCAGTAGATCTGATAAAACCTGATGAATGAGATTTAGCAGCTAGGCAAGAATTCATGTCAGAAGGCTTGCAAGGATGTTCTAATTATGTTAATAGTTGTAAAGCACAACACAGGCTCTTCTCTTTGAGGCCTGCACAGTTCACTTAGCTAGAAGAGATGGTCTGGAAAGTTAAGACAGACATCAACAAGAAGTCCCACCTCATTTAAGAGAGATTCTGAACACCGACTCTGCCACAACAGCTGGTGAAAAAACTTTCTGAAATTGAAACTGTGAAAAATAACACATGCAAAACAAAACTGCTCACCCCTCGCATAAACCAAGTTTCCTACCTCCAAAAAAAGACAGCACAAACTTGCTTGTGAAGCTTAAGAGGGAACTGGTCTATTCAAGTTACCTTCCTTCACCCTCCACAGACTGACTGCCTTTTAAAATGGCAGACTACTGTTATACCAGAAAGTTTGGCCAACAATGGACAAAATAAGCTATGTATCTCTGAACAGTTTTGGCAGTCAAACTGTATATAATTTGTTAATCTGAATCATACAAGAAAACAAATTTCCAGCTCTGAAGAAGAAAAACCAACCACACAGTCCCTGAGATAAAAGTCTTTCTTTAACACATTGAGAATCAATAGTGGCATTTTGCCATTGCTAATTCCCAGAGAATTCATTAAACTGACATAACTTACAAGCTACACAGGAAAAAAAGAAAAAAAAATCTAACCAAGCACCCTTCTTTTCTTCTCAGTGGTCAAGAAATCATTAAACATAGAAGGAGGGGATGAAGTACTTATCTTACTGGCAACAACAGGAACCAAAAAAATCTCTTATTACTGTACATGGCAGCACAAACAGGCAAAATTATCAATAAAGTAGCTTTTATCTCTCTCTGTCTCAAAAAAAAAAAAGAAGAATAAAAGAGTATCTATTCTTTAATCCCTAAAGGGAGTGTGTCTGAGCAATTGCAGCAGACTAAGTGCTTCTATATATGCCATTTTCAAAGGGGGGTTCTAAATGGTGGCTTCACTGGTGCAATGGGAGAACATTTGTGATTTGAAGGGTTTTTTTAAGGCAGTGAGAGAAAGAAAGAAGTGATACTGAGCTCTGTTTTGGAAAACAGTCATTACACATGCGTCAGAATCTAACAAAACCTCTGAACAGATGCAAGAGAGGACATAACGTTTCTCTACTGCTCAAAAGGAATATTTATCTGTATGAAAAACTAAAAATTGCCAGCTTCCAAATAACACATGAAAAATATGTGCTTTTATAAGATCAGATACTCCTAAAAATACTTTTTTTCTGGATGTTCAAAAGCAGTCAAGCATAAAGGGCACACTTAGCAACAAACATAAAATTCCTCAGAAGTCATAACAGTTTTATTATAAGAATTTATAGAATGAAAGTAACATCATTTCCATATGAACAACTCAATGCCTGGATACTTAATAAAGGAGGACAGTTGCAGCTATTTTATATCAGTGGGAATAGAAACAGGCTATCTTCACACAGGGGAAAAAATTAAGAAAAACACTTTCATGCACTGAATTCAACTTCAATATTCTGCATTTGTATTTCATCATTACCTAGAAATAAGGATTAACTATTTGAAAAAAGGTTGTTGTATGCAATGGCTACGTAGAGACAGAAAGGACTTACTGAAGAACTTGGAAAAAATCACCAGCACATTTGAAAAGAAGCAGAAAACTCAGTAATGCTCTGAGCAAGAGACAAAATTGCAATTACCTGACCATTCTGCTGTATGAACAAACTTATTTTGCAGTCATCACCACCACAAGCCAGTATTGGTACTAGAAAGGAAAAGAAGGTCTTCAATTTTTTATAAGATCTAATATTCTAGGACATGAAAAAATATAAATAATATAAAAATCAATATAGAAATATATCAAAATATAAAAATACTAACAGACAAGCAAGTGTGATACCACATTTTTAATGCTTTCTACATTAGCTGTCTAATAAATTAGTATCTTAAGAGCACAGAACTCAAAAATTACTTAAACTGCAAATAATATCTATAAATATTTAAGATGCTAAAATGAGTAGTTTGCCTCAAGCTCATATTTCTGTAGGAAGTGTTAGAGTTTTTAATTAATTTTTCACTCAAGACTACTCAAGTCTTGAGTAGCAGTTGACTTCCACGGGCTAACCTTAAAAGTGCACAAACCCTGTAAGTCTATTGAATCAAACCAGAGAAAGTTATGTCTGAGGGGGTTAAAAAAAGAAAAGTTAGGCAGTGTATTAGTTCTTCTCTCCAACAGAAGAGGATGAGGAAAAATAGTTAACAGTTACTCCACTCTTCTTTTTTTTATATGTCATAAGAGGCAGCATTACTGCTAGGGACTGAAACAGTAAAAGCAAATAAATTTAGTATAAAACTATGAAGAAATAAGTTATAAGTTAAGGGCTAGACATTTGAATTTTTCAAGTCAGGATAGAAAACCAGATACTAAATTTCACTAAAATCAACTACCTCTTTTAACAAAAAGCCTCCATGACATCCCTTCATATAGATAATTTTATCTTTATTATGGATAGATCAAAAATCAACTTGAATATTCATAATATCTTTATCCTCTATACTAATCTCTTCTTTCTACTTGTACCAAATCTGTGCCCAGTTATTCACTGTTTCTCTTGCACTTCTCAGCCACATTCCATATTCTCATAGTTCCATCACTTGCTTCCTCTCTCCAGCCTCTAAGTCACAATTCACCTCCATCTCCTCCTCTCTTTAATAGGTCTAAAAAACTGCTTTGCATCAAAGGTGATGAGCTGCTTTGAATGAAGACCTGGTCATCAGGCCCACAGAAATTGGGCAGGAGTGCCGTTTTCTTCCATAAAACACAATACAATGGATGTTCTTGAAGACATCAACACTCTTTCCTGAGAAACATTTTATGGGCCATCAATGTAATTACATATTTATTCAATGGAACAAAACTTTAATTAAGAAAACCAAAGAGAGAATTATGATTTAGTTGCTGCTGAAGACAAATGCAAATACTTTCCCTCAAAAAGTTCTATCAAGAAATATATCTATATATCCGGACTAGTATATAGTTTTCCACATAAATGCTTTGAGATATTAGAATTTGGATCTGATTAAGATAAAATTCCTGCAGAGGAAATAAGAAAAGTAAGTTGGATAAGCAGAGCTTTTCCAAGTTCACTTGCTCTTTTTTTTTCACCTGTTGCAATTCACTTCTGAGGAGACAATTATTTACTGTCAGAGGCCATGCTACATCATGGCAATTATCCACAGGTCATAGGAAGAATCAGATTATATGATAAACAGTTGATCAAGATTTGTAAAAAATAAATCCTATTGCCAGCATTTTATCGGCAGAATTTGTGCAGACACTGTAAGGCAAAAAGCAAGCAAGCAACCAAAACTGCAAAAAGCTCTTCTTCAAGGCTGAACAGCAAATGTACAGAAACTCCTTAATAAAGAGGCTGCCAGAGAAGTATTTAAGTTGCCTTCCAGCTGCAAATGACTGGTCAGGTTTCAATGAACAGTCTATCAGATTTCTCTATTTGACTTCTTGACAAAAGTGGTTCAATTTTTTTTTTTTTTTAATAACTTTTTTTCAAGGACAATCAGTTAAAATCCTAGGCTCAGGAACATTATCTGAAAGTTAACGCATCCATTGCATATACATCAATTTTCAATGCAAGCCTTAAATTTACTTTCTTGCTGAAATTAGAGGTTGCTGTAAATGCTTCAAGAAATGTAATTTATGATTTTCAGAAAAGTAATTCTGTATTTAGTTCCTGACTTAAGAAATGCAGATTGTTCTCAAGAGAAAAGCTTCTTTCAATCCCTGTGCAGCTGACAACTTAGCCTTCCTAAAGATTTCTGAGCAACTCCTAAATTTATCCTAATCATTTTTCCCTGAAGATCATTAAAATTCCAAATTGCCATTAGAGATTAATGTTTCTGACAAATGATCAGCAGTGTTTTTTAATAATATATTTTAGCTACTTTACTCAGATTTCAGAATTAACATATGCCTCATCTATATGGACTACTATGCCAGGTTCAGGGAGAAAACACTAGCTATGCTTTATTAAAAGCTCCTTTCCAGATTTCTACAGGAAACATTTCTATACATTTATGGTTCAAAATCTAAACTGTTTCTTTGCAATTTTATCAGCAGAGGTCATCTGTATTGGAACTGGAACAAAAAAGGTAAATGTGAAGAGATTTTTTTTTTTAATTCCACACAAAATAAAATTTTTGTGCAAATTGAAATTATGCAAATTGAAAATAATTTCAGCTCTTGAGAAAATAAAGAACTCTTTTTTCCATTTATGAGCACTGTACTGCTTTGGATAACTAATCTGAATTGGGATGGGAAGAGTTCATAATAAAAGATTGTCCTGCTCTCAATCTAACTTTAAGCAACACTGGTTTTGGGGACTCTGGAAAACAAAATCCTTGCTATTTTGCCACTCAAAGAAGCTTCAAACATTTAATACAACTTGAATTTCAGAAACATTTTTAAGAACTAACATGATAATTTTAATTCATGGTGGTTTTAGAATGTATGGTTACTTCTCTTATATACAACATGATTTCAACATTGAACAGATGCACTACTCTAGAGTGTTACAGTGAGACTTTCTTACCTGTACAGTATCCTAAATGAAGATATAATCTATTGTTTTGCAATCTGAATGTTATACTCAGACACCACAGGCACTTCACTTCTAAAGAATATTCACACTTGCAGTAATGATTTTAATTTACCCTCAAGCCTTTTAACTTCACCTCAACAAGCACATTAGTGTATTTACTGGAAAAGAGAGAGGTGTAAATGTTCTTTAATGGTACAGATGCTGCTTTTGGTATCAGACATGTTCTGAAAACAGACACTGGCATTTCCAAATAGGAGAGCACATTGTGATAGAGCTTTCATTGCTCACAGAATTATCAAAGCCAAAGAAAAAGGTATGCTTGTAAGCATATCATCAAAACAACACATCAGTGTGGAATGCATGCAGCAGAGCTGAAAATTCCAAATACAGTAAGAAAATTTAGCACTTTTTCAGTTGGGAGCCTGGTAGGCCTCCATCCAGGTGAAAGACTCTAATGATACTTGAACCCAAATTTAATTAAACACATCTATCTGGCTTGAGGATACATCTGCTTTACCAAAAATAGCTTCTGCCTATTTGCACAAAAAGAATGTGTCTGTGGCAGCCTACAAAACCTAATATTTCTGTTAGCAGAAACCTACATAAACCATACTAAACAGGTTTAAACAGTTCAGCATTTCAAATTTTTCACATTTAAGACTGAACAAACAGATGATAAACACTGCTTGGGAACCCATGATTTTCAATGCAGGCCTTCAGATTTTTTCTGAATTTTGCCCTTCAATTCAAACAACAAGAACAAACATGTGCGGCAGCACCACAAGGAGCAGGTGGAACTAACAGCATCATCCTATCCCATTCATTTACAGCATTGTTACCCTGGTTTAAAGCTTTCTATTGCAAGAGTTCAACTGAGCAACTCCATCTGAGTGCCATTTTGAAGACACTGTAATCAGTCTTTGTTTTTAATTACTGAGAAGAGTCCAGAGAAAATCTTTAGGTACGAGAATCAGCTTAAGCAGATTTCACAGGAAACAAAAACTGTGTGGCACACAGGTCTGGAGTTAGCAAAATAAAAATCTGTTTGGGGGATTTCTTAGATTTTTCTTCCTGCATTGATATTCAAGATGTGGAGCTTTACTTACCATCACTGCCAGGCAAGAAGGATAAGCAGACATCCATAACAAATCCATTTCCAAACTGCAGAATTTCAATGCATTTAGCTGGAAAACAGGAACAGACAGCGTTGATCTCATTCACTGTAACTATTACAATTACACTGTCATTTCCTTCTATATTATACAGTTTAAATTTCCCATCCATTTTTATTTTAAGAAGCTGAAAAAAATCTACATTTTTTCAAAAGCATAAACAATAATATCATCTTCTGTGTGGCCATAAAAATTCATCCAGTTGGTTGGGTTAGAAGATAATACTGTGTTAAATCTATATAGCTTCACTGTGGTAACACACCAGAGGCAATAAATATTACAAAATATATCCTGTGGCAACACAATTCACAACAAAGGAAAATAAAACTGAATCCATTTTCTACAACGGCAGCTAGAGAAATTAGCAAAAACCTGCAAACATCCCTGAGACCCTGGAAATCATTAAATTAGTACACTAGTAATCATTAAACTAGTAAATAAACAAGAAAATAGCAGAAAAAAATGTCTACAGCAGAAGAATTAGTCCCTCTATCAATGTAACCACACTAGCAAGACAAAATGGAAAAGATGAGACTTTGTGGGGTTCTTTGGGAGCACCAAAAATGCCTTCCAGAACATGGGACTTTAGACTGGCAACTCCATCTCTCTCACATAGGCAAGGCAACACAAGATCTTCAAATACACCCAAGAAGGAAGAAAGTAGCTAAGGAAATGCAGTCACTAAACCTCAACCAGCAAACAACACCTTAAATCTCAATTATCTACCCAATTTATTTCTTATGCATTTTAGAATGCTGTTTTCCTGTATTTCCATGCAAGAGCCTAGTTTAACAGAATGTCAAGATCCCAAACTTCATTGGACTCAAGCCAATAAGAAAAAACAAGTGACTAATTAAACTTCATCTTTCTAACACCACCATTAATCATTTTACTATGTAATTCTACTTCACACATGCATACAGCTAGTCTGCCTCCACATTACAATGGTTCAGATTGTCATAACATGAATACATATTAAAAAAAAAAAAGTAAATTCAGGCCACACATCCCTGATCAAATATAAAGACAAATCATTCTGCAGAACAAATATGACCCAAGGCTTTCCAAGAGCAATACAGTGCTTTCATGTACTAAAGTCAGAAGACAAATCAATGTAGTTGCATTACAAGACGTTCGTATTTAATAACTAATGGATAAGCATTCATCATTCTTATTTAGCCAGTATGTTATCCCTAACATTAAAAAAAGTTACCTTCTGAACCGTGCCGAGACCAGATTCTCACAGTAGAGTCAGAGGCTGCAGAAGCTATTAGCACATTTAAATCAGGTTCATCTGACTGGCAGACAGCATCCACAGCAAAAACAGCTTCTGTGTGCCCTTTGAGAGGAATGCTTTTCACAGCCTGAACACATGAGAAAATTTTACAAAGTTTAAGTTCCAGTAACTTATGTGAGAAAACTTTTAAAGCAACTTTAGAAAAAAAAAACCACTTAATATTTCAGGAAACCCAGAGAAGGGATACAGCAGCAATGAATATTAACTTAGTAAGATTTTGCTCAAAGCTAAACAGAATTAAATGTTCCTGTGTACACTACACCCTCACTATGCTATAACTTCACCCTTCCTTGAGGGAAGTTGGAAACAGTACAGAAAGTTAGGAAGAGTTTTCCTTCCTTTTTCTCCTTCTCTTGTCCCTCACCCTAAGGAACATCTCACAAAAGTTTGGAGAACCTTAGTGAAGGAGACAGAGCAGAGAACACAATGGAATAAGCAGCAGCTACAGCAGCTCTAGCAGCAATGTTTAGTGTGTTCTCACAAACCAAAACAGCTTTTTACTCCTTCAAAATGCCAACATGAAAAACAAAACCACTAAATTTAGACAATGAATACAGGTGATTCAATTTGCAATCTGCTCCTCATAAACACAAAGACCAAAGTGAGAAGCTTTTAATTTTACAACCAGCAGTCATCCAACATTTATTCAGATTTTATCATAGACAGACTTGACATCTCTTTCCAAAATACAGCCTGGTAGGCCTCTGTGGGAATTTTTCATTGGTTGAATACAGAACTTTGTGTTTAAGAATTTACACTAGTCTAGAACTCCCATTAAAATGAGCACATTTAGCCACATTCTTTTGAAATTATTGCCATATGGCTGTGCACCACATCAGCAGAAAAAGTTTATTAAAAAGTCTGTAAGTTAACTTAAATAGATGCATGAACAGTTAAAATGGATCAGGATGAGAAATAACTCATTTCTGAGAACTTTCCCCCATGAAAATAGGTTCATTTCCCCCTACTATGCATTCTCATGCCTTTTAAAATGCCAAGTCTAATAACCTACTTTGAGACAGATGATGAAATGGATTACCTACACAGCCATTCCCAATCCAGTGCTTAATAAGCAAGACATTAAAAGCTAGACAATAAAGTGGTTTTTTCATCAAAATTTCAGGTCATTTAGAAGGCTCTTTCACACAACACTGAATCTCTTGCCTTACATTTTACAGTAGACATAATAAATTAGCATGTCTCCTTACTTTCCTCCATTTCTCTGAAAAAAGCCAATTGTTGCACAGATTTTTTAATTTTCATTTTTGTTAAATATCTATTCCAACTTGTATATCATCCTGGTAAGACTATCTATATACAAACCCACACTGTTGTACAGACTAACCAGAAATCACTAGAAATGGATATAAGGAAACAAGGAAGAAGGATACAGAAAATGTCAGCTCAAAATGCTCCTCATGGTTTGAAGGTTTTAAGGTTTAAAGAAAACTGCCATGTGAGATCAGAAAGTTGATGAGTCAAGAATAGACAAACAGAGTCTTTTGGACACCTAAACAAATGCACTAAATGACTGACAGGTTCGTTAATTTCTTTACCAACGCTGATTTGAAGAAGATGAACCACAGAAAAGAGGAAACAATATTTACAGCAATACATAGCAAGACAGAGTACCAAGAATTTCAAGGATATACACACTGGGTTCAACTTAAAAAAAAATCAAAAACAGTCAAAATGAAACAAATAGTATGAACCAGAAATACAAATAAAACAGATAATTTGTGATATGTGAGATACTACTGCAGAGGGAGATTTGAGAAGAGATTATTCCTGCTTACCTGATTATTCCATGCTACTGTGTCTTTCCATTCCCAAAGAATAAGTTGTTTATCAGATCCACCAGAAATTAACTCTGTTTCAGCAGCTAAAAAATATGCTTTGGTTAGTTCAGTATGCACTTAACTTTGTAATAGCAACATAAGCAGTTCTACTGGTTACTATTCATAAAATATCACTGGTAACCAAAGCTTCCACCAGAATAAAGTATGGTTAATAGGAGTTGCACTGTGCAGAACTGGTTTAGAGCAAAGATATTCCCTAAGAAAATGTAAAGAGAAAATTCTCAGGACTATTTAAACTTCTGTGTGAAAGTGGTAAAAATACCTTTCCAGAAGACTCTCAAATCCAAGAGTGTAAATTAATCTTTTGGGGTTTTGTTTGGTCTTTTTGGAAGATAGGAAAATAAAGCAAGAGAATTTAAACAAACAGAATTCAAAGCTTCACAAGAAAATTTAATTCCCAAGTTCCCTGAAAATAACTCCTTTTAATCATTTTTAGGAAGAATATGTTTCAGTGCATCCCATTGAAAGGATGGCAGTTTAAATCACTATTAAAATTAATGTTTACACCTCAGTACCTCTCAAAAAAAAGGAAGCAGCACATTACATTAACAGTCTAATCAATAGTCACATCTCTCTTCTTCAGTGAGAAATGCCTAAGGGCAAGAATATATGCCTATGAATATATTGCCTAAGCATATAGTGCCTGCCCTAAGCAATGTTAAATCCTGGAATTACTATCCAGCAAAAGTCTCATAAATGTTTCAAACATTTGAGACAAAATGTCTCAAACATCTTTCTTAAGACTTTTTTTCGAGCACATAACCTCTATGCCACTTCAGAGCTTTACACTCAGAGACTCCTGAAAAGGCATTGTAAATCAGTTTACAGGTCAAAACATGCAAAACTCCAACCCTTACTAAAGAGACTGGTGGAAGAACAAGCAGCACAAGCCATCGACCAGTGTGAGCTGCCACAGCCCCAGGCAAGCATCCTCCTGGGGTGCCCCTGGCTGTGGGGCAGGAGCAGAGATCCCCTCACCACGGAGCTCGCCTGGGTTTGGCAGCTCACATTCCTGCAGAGGCGTTTGTCAACATGAGGCCACACCTCGAGTACTGCATCCTGCTCTGAGCCTCCCAATTCAGGAAGGGCACTAAAGTGCTGGAGCAGGTCCAGAGATGGGCAATAGAGCTGATAAGGGTCCGGAGCACACATTTCATGAGTGGCTGAGAGAGCTGGGCATGTTTAGCCTGGAGAAGAGGAGGCTCAGGGCAGACCTTACCATTCTCTACAACCACCTGGAAGGAGGGAGCAGACAGGTGGGGGTCGGTCTCCTCTCCCAGCTAGCAAGTAACAGGATGAGAGAACAAAGTCTTAAGCTCCACCATGGGAAGTTTAGGTCGGACATCCAGGAAAATTTTTTCACAGCAAGGGTGTGAAGAATGGGCTGCCCAGGAAAGTTGTGGAATCACTGTCCCTGCAGGTATTTAAGGAAAGAAGGGACGTGGCACTCAGTGCCATGGTGTAGTTGACACGATGGTGTTGGGTCATGGGTTGTGTTCAATGATCTTAAAGACATTTTCCAAACTAACTGACTGTGTGAAAATCCCTCCTGGAAACTAGGCTTAAGGCGAAAGAATGCACTGCAATTCTTGCAGTTCCCTATTTCCCTGAGTGTACAGTGCAGCCCCGCTGTTGCCGAGCCTCCCCCGCCTCCTCTGCCCTGCAAGGGCAGCAGCGCCCGCGGCCCGAGGGGAACCGGGCCCGGCCCCGGGCCCAGCGCGGCACCGCCTCGCTACTCACCGCGGTCCCGCCGGCGGACCCAGCGCACGCAGTTCACCCTGCCGGCGTGGCCGCGGAGGGCGGCGACCGCTCGCCTCACCTGCGGGACAGACAGACAGCACCGAGCGTCAGGGAACGGTCCGGGTCCTGGTGTCGGTCCCAGTCCCGGTCTTGGTCCCGGCGCCCCCCCAGAGCGCACCAACTTACCGCCGGGTCGTAGAGGATGACGTCGTGGCAGCTGCCGAAGGCGAGGAGGCCGCCCCGGCCCCAGGCCACGACGCCGCCGCCCGCCCGGTTGGCGCAGCAGGCGATGTGACAGACCGACACGGGCGCCGCCATCTTGGCCGCCGCCGCGTGCGCGACCCCGCGCGGCTCCCGTGGCAACGACCCCGCGCGGGGCGGGGCCTGAGGGCGCCGCCGGCTGTGGGGGGGTCGGTGTGGAATTTTGCATCTCTTGCGCCTTTTGCCGAGACCTCAAGGGTTTCAAAAGTGTAAAACTTTTCTCTTTCTGGCTCCTGTGAAGAAATTCCTCCTAATGCCCAACCTAGATGTCCCCCGGTGCAGTTGAGGGCTGTGTTATCCTGTCAGTGGGTGCTTGGGAGAATAAAGCGACCCCCACCTGGCCATAATCTGTTTTCAGGGAGTTACAGGGGTCGGTAAGGTCACCCCTGAGGCTCCTTTTCTACAGGCGAAACAAGCCCAGCTCCCTCAGCCATTTCCCGTAGGATTTACCCTATGAACCCTTCACCCAAGTGGGAGAGCTGACTATCAGAGATGGTGTCACTGACTGCCAATCCTGGGCTGCTTCCATCACCTGGGAAAAAGTTGGTAACACCTCCTGACAAAGAATCATGCTCAAATTAAGTTTCTGACGTCGGGATGTATTTAATATTACCATGTATGATGTCCCTAAAATTACTGTCATGGAAAGCACGAGAGTTTGCAACTGAGCAATGACCAGGCTCAGTGGATTGATCTGAACGTGTTTGAATACCTCTGCTTTTCAGGAAAAAAAAAAGATGAGAACAGAGCAATTAGTAAATTCCATCTGTTACATTTTTATTTTTTCATTCTTTGATATATTTATTGCCCCTCCTGAACAAAAATTTAAAATCAAATCAAGAAAAAAAAAATACTGCAGTGGTATTCTAGTTTTACTTGCATGGTCGCTGGCCTTGAGAAACAGGGTCACAATGCAGAGTATTACACTGGATAGATGTGCTCAAATTGTATCAGCCACTTGGCTTCACAGGTTCAAGGACTTTGCTGGTCCCCGATAGCCACAGGTGCAAACAGCTGCCCCACAGGCTGAGTAGGAGCCTCAGCAGGACCTTCAAGACATCCACTCTTGAAGGATGAAACATGAAAAAGGCTGTGTAGCAGAAGCCAGGTTGAAGTATATATGGAGAGCTCAGCTATGCAAGAATCAAAAGGGACAGAAACAGAGATGTGCCTCCTGTCCCCAAATCACACCTAAGATAATCCTGAAATAACTGAAAGTGAGCTGAAAAGCTGAAAAGTCTGGGCTGGAGGAAGAGCTGGAGGCTTTCTGGGGCTGTGCAGGAGAGGTGGGGGTAGGAAGAGAAAGCAGTGAAAAGCAAGCAGGCATCCAGAGGAAACACTCTGCATAGCACATGGAACATTTTGGGCCTGAATCTTTCCTGCCAGGCCTTTATCTCTCCGTGTGTTCTGGAGTCCTGGCTGTAACCTGACACAAAACCACTGCAGATAGGCACAGTTGTTTTCCAGAGGGTATGAGAGGAAGGAAGCTATGCCTGATCACACAGCAGATAGAGCCAGAAATGTTAGCTACTAGGGAAACAAATGACTCCTTGCAGAAAAATGCATGGATCTAGTCATCAAAGCATGCCTTGACTGAGGAGCGCTGGCATGAGCTGCCAAGGATGGCTGTGCAGCAGTCAGGTTGCACAGCAACCCCTTCTCAGCAGGCCTTGCCAGGGCTGGAGTCAGGGCTCTGGCAGAAGGAGGTCGGGCACTGCCAAAATCATGGGTCATGTTATAGGAATTGCATCTGTTGCTGTGGGAACAAAGCTGGCTCTGGCTGGGATTGTAGGCATAAATGGAGGCTTTTCCAGGATGGATTGGGTGAAAGACTCCTCTGTGACACAAGAAGTTAACCTGACTGATAGATAACCTGCTGCTTTTGCTGTCCTGCAAACAGTTTTACTGGAGTGCTGCTTGGATTGGAGAGATTAGGGGTTCTGTCCTGCCTGAGGGTGCCAGGGCAGTGCAGGGTTTTGTGGGGCTGGTCCTTGCAGACCTCGGGGTGCTTTCCCAGCCAGTTTGAGATACCACATTGTGGAGGGCTGCTAGTGCCAGGTACTCACAGTGATTGCCTCTTTTCCCCAAAAAAAGGTCTGTCACGGTCACCCCCTAACAGAGTCCAACACTGAGAGAACTGGAATGAATCAACACAGAATATGGACTTAATAGTGCCATGAGGAATGCTGCAGCAGCACCATGGTGCCATGGCTAAAGAGGCACAGGAAGGTGGATTTATGTCCAGACAGATCAGTGCAGGTGAGCCTAGTTTCTTACTTGTCATAAGTACTCTGTCTGACCAAGGCCTCATTTAAATAAGACTCTGAGCCTTTGGTCAAACCCAAGAAAGTTTTTTTGTGATTTCTAATGTTACAGGATCTTCTCTTGAAACTGAAATATCTGGAGGATATTGTATGAGAAGTTTAGAATATCAGATAATTACTATAGGACCAGTATGCCTTTTAGGAACACATACTTTATATGGAAGTTATAGGGATGGTCAGTGGTGTTGCAGTAGAAAAGGATATACTCTGGACGTGTCACCAGCTGCCAGTCTTCACTCATAGCTAATGTCCTCATGAAATTAAAATCTCCTTTAGAGGCCCAGAGAAGTTTGTGCTTCCTTCCCCTCACATCTGTCCTTGTTTTACTTTATATTCCCAGAAAAGAATTTCTTTATTTTTCAGAAATATATGTAAAAATAATCTTCCTCTTTTTCTCCCTTTGGTGTAACTTTTGAGACACAGGAAGAGCTCAGTTCATTGAACGCCAGAGATGGTTGTTATGGTGCCTAAGCAGACTTCAAAAGTCACTCCACAGTTTTGTTCATATCTTTTATGTGTCCCCCTGTGGTTCTGCCAATGGAGGTACATCAACAAGCTCTGATAAGGGAGATACTACTTGAACAAAAGCTTTCTTGAGCTGAAAATAATTTTTCTAGTTAGTTAGGCATTGGAAAAACTTCTGCTCCAATTGTAATTCAGTAGCAACACAGTAACTTTGTATAGTAATTTTGTATAGTAATAGTAATTTTGATGATAAATTCATGTTTACAAGTAAGGTTTTGCTGACAGAGGTGGCTTGGGGCCCTTCATGTTCTCCCTACCCAACTCAGTTATGCCTACAACTTTATGAGAGAGATGGAGAAAATACAACACTAATAAAAAAGTTGTATTTAATGCTTAATATACTTATCTATGTCTAAAAATTGAGATGAAAATATAATAACGTTGCAAATATGTTAAATCAAAGTTTAATGCTTTCTTTCATTGGGTGAAGTCTTCTTGATTTACAGGAATTTGTGTTAATAGACAAGAGCCATTCTGCAAGACACTCTGAAAAGCAGCAGTCACATGTTAGGTTTACAGTTTAATTATATGTAGTTAAGTTCAACAGAAGAAAATTCAAAAGTTGTTAAATGAGCAAAGCCAGTACTCAAAGGTTGAGGGCCTTGTTTTTGCAAGTTGTTGAACTTTGCCTATCTTTATATGTCTTCAAGCCTCTCTTTATGTGTCTTCATTTTATACATGCTTATGAAGTAATCCCTAATGAAATTGCCTCATATACAAGTTACTGTTTGCTATTTTTACTTGAGGTTGTTTGCTCCAGTAGCAACCTGGATGAGTAGTGCCTGGTGAATGAGACAGCTATTCAGTATTTTAATGTCTCCTCATTAGCTATATCATGGTCCTTGGCTTAATTTGTTGTACAGTTTTCTTTTTTGTACAGCACAGAATTATCTTTTTCCATAGCCAGGTTTTTGTTTTGTTTTGTTTTGTAACTTCTACTGCCACAGCTTCTGAATGTCTCAGAAAAAACTTATGAGTTACATTTTTCTTTATAAGATAACTCTTAGGCAGAGGGGTATTATTATATTCATTTCCTGGGGTCTAGACCAGAATTCATAAAAAAATCACAGACTCATAGAATGGCTTGGGTGTGGAAGGACCTTAAAAATCATCTACTCTCAAGCTCCTGCCATGCTCAAGGACACTTTCCACTACACCAGGTAGCTCAGGTCCCCATCCAACCTGGATTTGAATACTTCCAGGGAAGGAGCATCCACAGGTTCTCTGGGCCACCTGTTTCAGTGCCTCAGCACCATCACAGTACAGAATTTCTTCCTAATTCCTAACCTAAACCTGCTCTCTTTCAGTTTTAAGCCATGGCCCCTTTTCCTATCACTACACTCCTTGATAAATAGTCCCTCCCTTATTTTCTGTACTTTCCATCTACTTTAGGTACAAGAAGGCTGCTCCAAGATGTCCCCAGGGACTTCTCTAGGTTGAGCAACCTGAAATGTCTCAAGCACCATAGGTCTTTAGGGGTGAAATGCCCATTGTGGAAGACACAGAACAGCATTCAGGAGAGTGACAAGCCACCCACAGCATCCTTTGCCTCCAGCTTGGATTGAGAGCATTCAAAACTTGTAAATCAGATTCCAGCCCTGGGACACTTCTAAAGGCTGTGCCAAGGTTTCATCTGAGGGATCAGAGCTGAAGCACTGAGAAAATAAATATTAAACAATAGTGACCAAAACCCATAAAGATGAGTTCAAATAATTTCCCAGCTTCACAGGGGATATTGTGTACAACAGCTGGGAACAACTCCATTGCCTTTGACATCTTGAAAACAGATCCAGCCTTTTTCTTTTTGCCAGCTGTGGGGTCTGTGTTGGAAGGCATTCCACTGCATGGAGAATACTAATTTGTGGGCTTGCTAGGATTTCCTTCCCTTGAGCAGGCACCTACCAGATCTGATGCCAGAAGAGATGATCAAGGAGAAGTGTCATTCTCAAAGTTACTAATTGAGTCCATTAAAATTCAGCATCAGACTGTTTTTTTAAATGCCACTGGAATAATTCTGGAATTGTAGGTCCTGTATTCAATAAAAGTTAAGATTTCTAGTGTATCTTGAGTATAATGTAAGCCTGGGGCATCCTTTCCAAATAATTTTCTCAAGATAGAAAAGCAGATATTGTTACTTGAATAGATTTAATTTTAAATGTTTAGAGTACATTTTTAGAAATAATTTCTCCCTTAATTCATCTCACTGAA